AGGAAGCTACAAAAGTTCCAAGAAAAGAATGGCAAACTCTACACGCGGCTTCTGCTGGCTACGTCGGACTGCCCGGAAGGATACTCGAGCCCGGCTTCGCAGGTAGTGCAGTCGTTTGGGCCTGTCGGGGACGAGGAGCTCGGTGACGGTCGAAGTGCTTTTGTAGCGCTCGAGCAAATGTACCGTGTCGATGGGACTTTCAGAATGCAGCAGCTACACGATGAGTTGGCCGCCGTCGCGGTCACCGCTGCTGACAAGTACGATCCGGCTCGCGCAATCCAACAATTGCGCCGCATCTTTCACGAACTCGGCAAACTCTGAGACACAGTCGTGAAACAACGGCAAGCACATGCCATCCTAAAGGCCCTGCCCGACAAGCAATACGGCTCGTTCAAGACTGTACTGTTGGTAGAGTCGCCCACTGTTGGTAGCGGTGCGCTAGGCTTCGACGATATCGCACGTCGTGCCACACTCTACCACGCAATGCAAATTCGCGGAAAAGTGCTCGACCATGCAAGACGATGGGTCGGGCAGCCACGGCCGTGCGTTGAACACTGTCACGTACGGAGGGGCACGTGGCTTCCGCAAGCACGGCGGCCGTGGTGGTCGTGGTGGTCGCCGAGGAAATGGCGGCAGAACTACAAACGGTTCGACGAACGGCTCGTCGAATGGGAACTACAGCAGCGGCGGCGGATCGGCCGGCAACGCTGGAGGCGGCAGCGCGGGAAATGCGCAAGGTGCTCGCGGGAATTATCGCGGCAACAACGCCTCCGGTGGCCGAGGTAAGGGCCAGGACACCGGTCGGAACCGAAAAGGGCGCTGCCGCTACTGTCATAATTCGACAGAGCACGGGTGGCACAACTGCCCGCTCCGCCTGAGGCACGAGGCGGAGGAAGCCACTGAACAGGCTGATACTCACCACACTCAAGACTCCACCACTCAGGCATGGTTCACGCGGGTGGAGACTGAAGGCGATGTGCTGGAGGACTACGCCATCTCTTTCGGAAAAGACGTGCAGGGTCAGGATGCGCCTGCTGCGGCGCGGCCAGAGGAGCGCGCTGCTGGTGACACGCTGGTGCAAGACGCGCCCCGCAGGTACTGGACACACCTGCTGCAGCGGTGGTCTATGACCCTGCTGCCAACGGATATTCTCAGACGGAGGAGGCGCCTGGGGACACCGAGCTCGTTGCGTTCAGCAGCGTGTTTCAGGTGGACAAAGAGAAACCGCAGGTCGTTGATGATGCCGCCTGCTACATTGATTCCGCCGCGTCCAGCCACATGGTGGATGAGCAGTCTCGCTTGNCACCTGCTGCAGCGGTGGTCTATGACCCTGCTGCCAACGGATATTCTCAGGCGGAGGAGGCGCCTGGGGACACCGAGCTCGTTGCGTTCAGCAGCGTGTTTCAGGTGGACAAAAGAAACCGCAGGTCGTTGATGATTCCGCCTGCTACATTGATTCCGCCGCGTCCAGCCACATGGTGGATGAGCAGTCTCGCTTGTCCCATCACGTCCTCAATCCGGTAGATTGCGCTGTGCGCATTATCGGGTCGTGTGGCACATCCGACGCAACCAAGAAAGGTACCCTGAAGTTTGGGGTGCGCAATGATCAAGACCAAGTCGTGCGAGTAGCTCTGGAGGTTCTGCTGGTTCGGGGCCTTGGAGCGAACATACTTTCGGTTGGAGCGCTGGCCGAGAAGGGGGTGATGTGTGATCTGATGTCTACCCCGCCGGCGCTTCGCATGGGCAACCAGGTCTTTCCGATCTCGACCGCAGTGCCTCGCATGTACGTGCTGAATGTCATCATCGACGACGTCAACCTGGGCGCTGTAGAAGTAAATCGCACGAAGGTAGACGCTCACCTGTGGCACCGGAGGATGGGTCACTGCAACTTGCGAGCGCTGCAGCAGCTGGCGGACAAGGACACTACCGGAATCAGGTTCANTCCTGAAGTTTGGGGTGCGCAATGATCAAGATCAAGTCGTGCGAGTAGCTCTGGAGGTTCTGCTGGTTCGGGGCCTTGGAGCGAACATACTTTCGGTTGGAGCGCTGGCCGAGAAGGGGGTGATGTGTGATCTGATGTCTACCCCGCCGGCGCTTCGCATGGGCAACCAGGTCTTTCCGATCTCGACCGCAGTGCCTCGCATGTACGTGCTGAATGTCATCATCGACGACGTCAACCTGGGCGCTGTAGAAGTAAATCGCACGAAGGTAGACGCTCACCTGTGGCACCGGAGGATGGGCCACTGCAACTCGCGAGCGCTGCAGCAGCTGGCGGACAAGGACACTACCGGAATCAGGTTCAATCGCAACATCGAACCAGGTGACTGCGGTGTTTGTGCGGTTGGTGACAGTAAGAAGGGCAGCCACCCCCCGTCTAACCGTCCCCTCTCGGAGACTCGGCTGGAAATTCTAAATGCCGATACGTGGGGGAAACATCCTATTGCTACATACGGGGGTTGCCAGAGTGCCGTGATGTTTACTGATGACGCTACTCGCATGAGGTTCGGCTACCTACTCAAGACGAAAGACGAAACGGCCGAAGCTCTTCAAACTCTGGTTCGGGACGAGGCCGACCTGCTTGGTCAGAGCATCGGCACGGTGCACTGCGACGGGGGAGCGGAGTATTTGGGCAAGTTTCTGGCGCTATGTAAGTCGCTCGGAATCAAGCTCACGAATAGCCCCCCCTATGTCCCGCAAGGGAACCCCATCGCCGAGCGTGGATTTGGTACCATCATCGGCACTGCCCGCAAGCTTCTCTTGGGAGCACCGCACCTTCCTCAACAGCTGTGGGGGGAGGCTTTCATGACTGCAATCTACCTCAAGAATCGGACCCCGACCGAAGTCCTGGGCGACAAGGCACCACTCGAGGTATGGGAGGGGAAGCCGCTCGGAAAGATGCTTCACATCCACGAGTGGGGGTCGCTGGCTTTTAAGCACGAAGAGGTACGCGCCCGGTCGAACAAGTTGGCGGCCAGGGCCAAGAAAATGTACCTAGTAGGCTACAACTCCAAGGGTAGGTCGTATCGACTTTGGGACCCTTCGGAGCCTCTCAAAATCACCAACTCCGTGGAGGTATCGTTCCGTGAGAAGGAGATGCGCGACGTGATCAAGCCCAACTAGGGCAAGATCCTCTCCTCGCGCCTAACTCAACATTCTATCGGCCTGGTCTGGTAGACTCTGTCGAAGAAGAAGAAGAAAATAACGAAGAATCATCCGACGAATCGGAGCCGGAAGCACCGGCACCTCGCCGCAGCAGCAGGAACTCCGTGGCGCCGCAACGGTTGAATATGTTTACGAAAGAACAGGCGTACGAGAGGACCGAACATGCTATGGTGACTGGAAGTGACTTCGGAAACCTCGGGAGAGGCAGTCCCGGCAAGGCGGAGATAAACTAACCGCTTACGTCGACTCTGACTTCGCAGACGATCTTGACGATCGAAAATCGACTACTGGGGTCGTTCTTACCCTCGCAGGTGGCCCGGTGGACACGACAAGTGTAAGGCAGACGGTCACTGCCACGTCGTCGGCTGAGGCAGAATACGTCACAATGTCCAAGGCGTGCAAAATGATCCTACACTGGCGTTATCTTCTCAAGACCATCAATCGAGAGCAGACGGAGGCTACGGTGTTGTTTGAGGATAGCACTGCTGCCATATCGACTACTGAATCGAACAAAGTAACGCAGAAAACGAAGCACATCGATGTCAAGTATCACCACGTAAGGTCGCTGATCGTTAACAAGGTAGTGGAGGTAAAGAAAATCGACACCAACCTCCAGAAGGCTGACATGTTGACCAAGAACCTAGGAACGGTTAAGTTTCTCAACAACCGTCGCCAGCTTCTAGGAATGTAGTCACCTCCCCTCTTCGTAATCTTAAGGGTTGAATGTTGAAGGAAACTCGGGAGATCTGTGTAAGAGGAATGTTTTCGCTGCTCGTTGAAATGGCAGGTAATGACTATTTAATTTTGAGTTGAGATCGCAAGTACTCGTGAGTTGTTTTCGAGCGGACATTATTTTAAAAGGACATCGAGAGAAGATTCGAGTCTCATGTATCAGAATGACGTACGTTCTTGAGAGGACATGTTGGGGTGTTTGATGTGCAAGACCGACTCTATTCTGCTGTATGTGTTTGATACGGTATTGTGAAGGCGTTCTGTTTTACTGTAACCGTCAGGTGCAGACAGTCCAGGCGTCTGTGTGTGGATAATAAATCACTCTTTTTGTT